CTTTTAACAGTATTTCAGTTATATCACGGTGCGCACGTGTCGACATACTGTGGGATGAAGTAACGCAGTCGTAGATATTCCAACCATATTCCAACTGACGAAATCGGAGAGCACGGATATAAAGCTAAAAACAAAGCAGCATTATTTAAGGCAAACATGAGATTCAAACCAACGATCGTTGATATGGCACTCCTTAATGGCAGTTAACTATCCTTGACCCCCTACAACGAGGTAAGGTAGACACTGGCAAGTTGGTACAGTAAAGTACGGTTATAACGAACTCAAAGGGACTACTAATTTTAGTTCGTTATAACCGTAGTTCGTTATAGGCATATATACAGCATAACTATAGCAAATAGTCGGGACCAAAAGAGTAGTTCGTTATATCCGTCAGTTCGTTATAAGCGTGTTCGTTATAACCGTAGTTTACTTTATGTCGTATTGAACTACTGCTATACGGAGCGTGTGGCAAACAGACAATAATATTTAATGTTTTAACCCAGTGGTTCTTAAATAATTGTCATAATATATTAATGCTTTGTTGTTCAGAATTGTCTCCCAAAACGGCGATCTAGTGAACCATGAATTAGATATTAGTGCGAGAGCGCCCCTTTTAACAGTATTCCAGTATTGTCATGGCGGGAGCACCAGATTGTACCCAATGTGGAGAACTGAAGCCAGGGCGTTGTTGGCGAGACGAAGGGAACCATTAACCAGTCATTAACTAGTCTCAGGTACACGTTAACAGTTCCACAAGGTTTATGATGCTGCGTTTCATACGCAGATACTTAGTTTGTTGTGACCATAGTGACATTTAATTATTTGACGAGGACAGGTCTTGGTCAGCAAATAGTTCCAGCTCAACGCGAATTTATTACAATGTGTACTTTAACATGTCTTACCACAAAACTTGAAGATATAAGATACGCGATTATTACAACGTGTACTTTAACATGTCTTACCACAAAACTTGAAGATATAAGATACGCAATTATTACGACGTGTACTTTAACATGTCTTACCACAAAACTTGAAGATATACGATATGCGATTATTACAGCGTGTACTTTAACATGTCTTACCACAAAACTTGAAGATATAACATACGCGATTATTACAGTGTGTACTTTAACATGTCTTACCACAAAACTTTAAGATATAAGATACGCGAGTATTACAGTGTGTACTTTAACATGTTTTACCACAAAACTTTAAGATATAAGATACGCGATTATTACAGCGTGTACTTTAACACGTCTTACCACAAAACTTGAAGATATAAGATACGCGATTATTACAACGTGTACTTTAACATGTCTTACCACAAAACCTGAAGATATAAGATACGCGATTATTACAGTGTGTACTTTAACATGTCTTACCACAAAACTTGAAGATATAAGATACGCGAGTATTACAGTGTGTACTTTAACATGTCTTACCACAAAACTTGAAGATATAAGATACGCGATTATTACAGTGTGTACTTTAACATGTCTTACCACAAAACTTGAAGATATAAGATACGCGATTATTACAGTGTGTACTTTAACACGTCTTACCACAAAACTTGAAGATATAAGATACGCGATTATTACAGTGTGTACTTTAACACGTCTTACCACAAAACTTGAAGATATAAGATACGCGATTATTACAGCGTGTAATTTAACACGTCTTACCACAAAACTTGAAGATATAAGATACGCGATTATTACAGTGTGTACTTTAACACGTCTTACCACAAAACTTGAAGATATAAGATACGCGATTATTACAGTGTGTACTTTAACACGTCTTACCACAAAACTTGAAGATATAAGATACGCGATTATTACGACGTGTACTTTAACATGTCTTACCACAAAACTTGAAGATATAAGATACGCGATTATTACAGTGTGTACTTTAACACGTCTTACCACAAAACTTGAAGATATAAGATACGCGATTATTACAGTGTGTACTTTAACATGTCTTACCACAAAACTTGAAGATATAAGATACGCGATTATTACAGTGTGTACTTTAACATGTCTTACCACAAAACTTGAAGATATAAGATACGCGATTATTACAGTGTGTACTTTAACATGTCTTACCACAAAACTTGAAGATATAAGATACGCGATTATTACAACGTGTACTTCAACATGTCTTACCACAAAACTTGAAGATATAAGATACGCAATCTATTAACTCAACCGAGATCAATTCTCTGAACGAACTTGTGATAGTCTCTTGAACAAAGTCTGAACAAAAATATCTTTAAAATTCCCAGCAAGTCTACAGTACTTTTGAAAATCTTGATTTCTGGGTTTCTCAAAATGAAGAGACTATGGGCTCCTTTCATACATCAAAAGACACTTCTACATAACAAACCTGGAACTATTGTCATTTCAGAGATTACAAGTATGTCTAACCTTTTTTGCACAATACATATGATTTTTACATCCATTTGTTATACATGTATTATAGATACGCCATGGAATCGGAATACTATTACCCAATTTCCGAAGCAAGTCTACATGAAAATATACACTCTTTTTGAAGAATTTCTCGCGACTGTTCAAACGCTATGTATTAAGTAAATATTCACAGAACGGTTAAGGGCACAGCATCGTTAATTAAACTGCCGCCATAGTAAACAGTAATAAACATTAATCAAGACCAAAACAGATGATAAAAATTATATCCTGTTGAGAAATGATCAACATATTAACAGTCGTGACAGCCGGTAAGGCATCTTTAACTAGTTGTCGAAACCGGGCGAAGAGCAACAGGTACATAGGGAAACATGAACGCAATCAGACTGTGTACACAGTGAAGTCAGTAGTTAATGTTAAACACGCCTATCAAACCACACGGGAGTACTCTCATTTGGCCCGGCGGGGATGGGAGTGAGATGGCGGGACTAGTTTGTGTAGTCTTAAATATATTTTCGATCTTAAGTGCGTTTTTTTTTTTGCTTCCGTGCGTTTACATTGGGAAGACGTGTAGCAACATCAATTACCAAAAACCAAATGAAACCATTTTTCTGTTCGTTAACGCATTTGAATCTCATGTTAGATACCCTAGACGCTACGCCCTCGAATAATACTCTATGTTGTAATGATTGAACTTACATGTACGCTGACTAACGACTAACGAATAACTAACTACAACATATATCTACATAAAACCCGTTATAACTTCCACGAAGCAGGAAATTCGAAATGTACGGATATGACAAATAACTGAAAGTTGTGCAAAATTAAATTAATATTTTCAACTCTTGTTTTATAACATGTGTTATAACATTATAACAATCGGATTAAGAACACCCGCAAACACGTGTGTATATAACAATAGTTATCCAATCGGCATATTAGTAAAGAGATTGTAACTAGGAAACTCATATAAGGCATTGTCTTAAGGTAAGTTACTGCTTGACTGATGCAGGATAGCGGGCAAATATTAAGCTGAAACTAAACCATCACTATGCGAGTGCAGATTGTCAGTCTGTCTGTAGGAAAACGTGGGTACAGCTGTTCTGTTTTCGTTTCATTACTGCTATTCGTGTTTTGCAAATACCAAACGTATTGAAACGTATTGACTTTCGATATGTAGTGAGATCAAGTTATATACCTTTTAATTTAATATATATAAGCTTTAATTTACGCAAAGAATTTTTCATGAACATTTTACGTTAATCCTTGACGATATAAATGTGACTCATCTGACTTATATTAGTTGTTTTACGCTAAACAGTGTACCTTATCAGGACACTTATTATAATTGTTGTTATTATCATTATTATCACACGCAGAGGAGTAATGTGGGTGATAAATAATTTGTTCTGCACATCATCTCTTTTGTGTAAATGTTGTATATGATGTATCATATACATCTCATCAAATACCATCGTGTGTACTTTCTTTTGTCCTTCAGTATATATACTCTCCAAGAAGCCGAGTGTGCAAATTGAATGTTGACTGAGAGTAATGCACGTACGCGGATGGAAATAGCGCTGTACAAATGTACATACTATAGTTATCGTGATTATTATCATGTTTGTACGTATCACACCATATATGTGAGAAATTATTAGTGTGCATTTTATTTGATGTGATAAGCCTCAGTAATTAAGTAGCGTTAATTGCGCATGTTTGATAATGTCAAATATGTTAACAAATGTTTACGTAAATACAGTAAAGTACGGTTATAACGAACTCAAAGGGACTACTAATTTTAGTTCGTTATAACCGTAGTTCGTTATAAGCATATATACAGCATAACTACAGCAAATAGTCGGGACCAAAACAGTAAGTTCGTTATATCCGTAAGTTCGTTATAAGCGTGTTCGTTATAACCGTAGTTTATTGTAAATGCTGCACAATTTAGCATGAACGAAACTCCTAAAGTGTAACCAGAAATGAAAGTACCTCTGCTGAAGGTGATTCTGAGTGAGTGAGTAAGTGAGTGAGTTGGTTTTAACGCCGCTTTTAACAGTATTCCAGTCATATCACGGCGTGTCAGCTTAATGTGGGAGGAAATCCCAAGATGATTGTCTCAGACGTTTACCACTTTTGTGAACGCGCGAGCACGGGTATGGTACTGACACAAATAGAAATATAATCGGAGCGAATCGGGATTCGAACCCACGATCACCGGTTTCTGGCACGCACAAGAGACGTTACTCCTAAGAGCGAATTGCGACGCCTTAGACAACTGGGCCACCCATGCCTCTTGAAGATGATAAGCTATATGTATAAGTAGGTAAGAATGAAATCTGTGGAGAATTGCTGCCATACACATACACAGTTGATAATGTCCAATGCGAACTGAAACGGGACGCTACAGCATTAATAGGCTCAGACACATGCACGCGTACATTCAATTCTCACCCTTACTTCTGGCTCCACCCAGTAGTAGGAGACAGGCAATCAGCACCACCAGCAAGGAGCGGTCGATTTGCATTAATAGGCTCAGACACATGCACGCGTATATTCAATTCTCACCCTTACTTCTGGCTCCACCTAGTAGTAGGAGACAGGCAATCAGCACCACCAGCAAGGAGCGGTCGATTTGCATCTTCAGCCATCGAACTCACTGGGGCTGTAAAGGTGAATAATCAGTTGTGAATATATACATACATATAGAAAAAAAAACCGTTCAAGTATTCAAGTCCATATCGTATTTTTTATGGATACTATTATTTTTTTCAAAAAGGTTTTTATTTCCAACATGAGCATAGGTCCTTCTAGAATAACTCACGATGTGCCATCACTTTACTAGAATATTCGTCTACAAACTTAGTGTCAAACGAAAGTATACCGAACTATTTGTTTTAGAAATATTTCCACTATTTACGGTCATGTTATGTTGGATTGGTTTCTGTATTGTTCGACGCAACGTTACAAATTAAACATCGTCACACGATGCAGCGTTTGGGCGATGCTGCACTTGTAAAACGACTTTATTAAGCACAAATTCACTGCATGTTAAAAACACGGGAACATTTGGTACAAGTCAAACTAGGGGATTGGATTGGGCATCATTTCTGTCAAATTTGGAAATATCTACCATAAAACTTTTTGAAAGCTTTACTGAGGCCTTGAATGTTGTTAGCTTGATCAAACAACTCCTGAACAAGAGCAGTATAATGCGCTTTGAAATCTTGGTTGAAGGAGCATGCTAGATTGTAACTCAAAAGTTGTGAAATATGAACACCAAAGGCTGGAGGTGCAGGAATATTGCTCGAAGTAAAGGGAAAAAGGGACTTTTCGAAAATTTGAGTCATCCCTCTTGTCATCCAGTCTTGTGGAGACTGTTTTGTCACTCTGAATCTTTATGCATAGATGTAAATACGAAACAGATGAGGCGGTCTCACTGGTCTCCTTTATTTATAGTTTAGGTGGGTAAATCGGTGTAAGGGAATTGGCTGTTTGATGTTATTAAACGATATCAGATCATCCATATACATGGACCTTATAACCCGTTTTGATTAGCCAATCGGAACAGACATTCCGATTCATATGCATAAGGAAACAGATCAGCAAGAAGGGGAGTCCAAGTGCTACGTTGACATACTGGCCTAATATGTGGCAATAACAGATATCTCATTGTGACGTCTTTTACAGCGACTGCCCTTGGACGTATTATCAGTGGTCAGACAGTACGTCTTCGACTATGACGGCATGTTATCAGGGACTTTCTACCATTCAGAGAAGTGTCGTTGATAAGGCAACATCAAGTTCAGCGTTTGCAATGTCGGAAATGCCAATGTGTGCTCTTTCCCCATGAGAGTAGGTTGCAGCTGTAAAGAGCCGACATACAAACAAGGACCCACTGGCTTTGCCAGAGAATCTCCAAAGCACAGAGATTAGATTTTGCAGGCACTGAGAGTGGAATGGAAGGCAATTTCTGATCTGATGACGCCTACTGAACTCAGTTGAATGACCGAACGACGTTGTGTGCACGCTCTGCATGTTTGCACGCTTCTGAATCACTGACTTTCATTTAGTTACAGTTATGGACCCGGGAAGATCCGGGGTAGAATAGGCCTTCAGCAACCCTTGCTTGTCGTAAAAGGCGACTATGCTTGTCGTAAGAGGCGACTAACGGGATCGGGTGGTCACGCTCGCTGACTTGGTTGATGCATGTCATTGTATCCCAATTGCGTGGATCGATGCTCATGATATATTAATCACTGGATTGTCTGGTCCAGACTCGATTATTTACAGACCGCCGTCATATAGCTGGAATATTGCTGAGTACGGCGTTAAACAATAAACAAACTAACACTGACAATTGATTTGTAAAATCGCCCATCTGATCCCTGGTGCTGTTTGTGAACTTTGGGAACTCTTACTTTCGAAATACAACGTTTGGATTAACTTGTATTTCTTGTCTTTTTTATCTATTCGAAAAACCGATCTGTAAAAATTCTTTTGACCCTCAGTTTATTTCTTAAATTTGGGTGACACTCTGGCCACTTGTCAATCATACAATGTACCTTAAATTGAAACAGATGACTCAAGCATCTGACTCAACACTTCATCTTAGTACTGCTAACACATGTTTTATTTTCAAAATGAATTGTCTTGAAATGATATGTCTGTTTCACACTATGCACCAACACCTAAACCTTCACTAAGAATATTTTGTTTGTTGTTTAACGACACAATCATCAATATTCCAACTATAAGACGACGTCCTATAAATAATGGAATCTTGACCAGACAACCCAGTGAGTGATATTCTGAGCAAGGATCCACTCTGTCGGACTATGTATATTATCACAGGCTATGAAGCAATTCACCGAGCCTGACCACCTGGTTACTTAAGTCACTTCTTTCGACAGACATTTCAGGACTGATCAGGTGTACCTACAGGGTTCAGTGAAAATGGGCACCCAATCCTGGAGCTACTTCCTAGACACGTAGTGTTCGCGACGAAAACAGCAGATCCTGGTCAGCCGAGAACATTCAAGTCACTGTAAGTTTACCTCTTCAAGAAAGCAAAACACATATCAATTCAATTAACATATCATGGCTATTCCCATTGAGGTACAAGATTCACACTGCTGTGTAATCATATGCACAGCGTTCGTGTATGGGTGACTTTAAGTTAAAAGCTACTAGTAACACCATTTTAGTCCTATAACGGCTTGGCCCCAACTGACGCAGGTCACAGACTTTTACCATTTTGGTAAAACCCAAGAGCACGGCACATTGGATCATAACCTCGGGCCATCAGTCCAGTGTGTATTTGTTATTGGCTCCTCTTTCATATCTACCTCTGCATGTGCTTTAGATCGACCAGTACCAGTGGAACACTCGTATCATACGTAATCACATTTCAGCAATCACTTGACATAGGCTTACTTTTGAAATTCAGATCACGTGTATGTTAAAAATGCCCAGATATACTTTGGGTTTTACACACTGGCAGTTTGATAGGTGACATCGCTGCTGCATCGTTGATTAAAAGGCTTGACATTGATGTTTAAATCTAATCAAATACGGATGTATCTTTTTTCAGTTTGATAAAGTGAACTTTTATGTTCGTAAAATGCTCGTATATTTGATATAACAGCAGAGGATTGTCCAACACGTGTCTCTTTGAGGGACAGGATCTTATGCCTTATGGTTTAATATCTTTATAATCCAATAAAGGGAATCTTAGGGTCGCGCTGCTGCAGCTCGTCAGGTGGATTATTACGATCGATAGGATGCAGCCTGGGCTAGTATCTCATACTCTCAGTTAATGTTGATTCCTACCAGATAGTGTAGGGTCTTGTGTAAGGTTTCAGTAATGAAACAAAACTAAATGATGAATTCTCTGTAATCATGGATAGTCTGGGCGGAAATATGCACTGGTACATTGTACTAACCATTTATAAGACCTGGCTGCAACCTTACAGCTATCTGTATACACATATAACAAAATATATTTCAATATTTCATAACATGAGAAAAAGGACCTCCCTGGATTAAAATGGACTCAGATGTTCTCCTCTGTCGAACGCCGTTACCTTGGCCTTGAGCCACGACTTCTGCTACAATAAAGGCAGCATATACTCAATCGTTTTGCGAACACCAGGTGTCAACACTAACGTTATATTAGTGATTGTGATTTCTGGAATTTATCGCTTCGTTTGGGCTTAACTCTATGACTAAGATACAAAATGAATAACGCAATGGTATTTTCATCCTTTGCATCGATTTTAGGAAACTTCGTGCCACTGTATGTACATACGTTATACATAAGTGCCACTTATATACTCTGCTAAACGCGAAATGAAAGTTCAAGGTGGCTAGAGCATAAGAAAGTTTAAACTGAATATGTTTATACAGTATACGACATGGTATACTTTACGTTTCTCCAAATAGCACACTAAAACACATACATGTGTACATGTACATCGCTTGCTGACTGTGAAGAATCACACACTGACAGTCGTGGTAAGTGTGTGTGGTAGTCCAATGAATGACCACCTCTCACCAGGCTATGACAGTGTAGATAAACACAGTAAATCAACATCATCGATGGATACGTGTTGTAGGCTGTTATTTACTTTTCTTAAGTGATTAACTCTAGATGGCCAACTTCTTATCTTCATCAATTGCTAAAAGCAATCTCCCTGGCTGTACCTAGACAGGTTTATAAGCAGGGAGGTTCCGTGTTCCGAGGCTCCTGTCAGAGCTTAGTGATCATCAGCTCTATTAAAACCCTTTGCTGCTTACAACCTGTCTCTAAGTCTCCAGTCTCTAAGCGACCTTTCAGTAGTGAGAATTTAAATGCAAATTGTGACTTTGGAGTGAGAGGCACATAGTGTTCCATTGGCAATGTTGAATGTGAAGAAGACTCCCTAATCGCTTTCAAAGAGGACAGAAGAATCGAACGACGAAATGTCAAACAGTGTTTCAGAAACAAAATGGTCCTGATTTGGAACCATACATGGAGACGAACCATGTCATCAGGGTATCTTTGAGGGTCATATGCAAATTGATGTTTGGAATAAATATAGCTGATGTATTATATTGATTCTGTAGAGAATTAACTGACAGCACCGTTTCAATATTCAAATCGTTAATTACTACAAACTGTTCACGAAAGCTCGATCTTGTTTGGGATATATTGGAGTGGAAATCAAATATTATCGTTACATTTCTTGCCTTGGGTGCTATTATAAACGCCGTTTTGCAGACAGCGGTTATCAATAATATTATGTTTTTCACAAAGGCAGCACGATAGCCAATCGCATGGCTATGGAGTCTGATGATAGGGTGCTTTCATCTAGATATATTTTTATGGCGTCTTCTTAAATACAATCATCTGACCAAAATGCCCCTAATCAGCGGCGATGAGAAGTTGTTTCAGCGCGGTCACATTACTTCAATGTTCATGACCAGCGAAGTGTACAGTGTATTATCACGTTTACAATTACAGTGCACGAAGAACTTGCAGCGTAGGCACCAACGTGTGCTGCGGCATCAGACCTTCCTTTCATAAACATTACCGGATTAACGACTTCCTCCAATCTCCGATTAAATATCACTTATCTAAGCAAAATGACAGATAGGAAAGAAAAATCTTAGTCGAGACAGTCT